GGTTTATCTGAATTGCTGCCAAAGTTTGTCATCCTTGCTGCCAAGGTCCTTATCTGTTTGTTTACTTGGCTTTCAGCCACCAAGAGTCTGGTCTTGCTATTAAAGGACATTCTCATTAAGCGTGTCTCGGCTTTCGTTACTGGACGGATTAGGGGGTCAGAACACATATCTAATAAATAAAACCAATAATTGGTCCTTTAAGTAACATAGAATGCTACTTCACATCAGACTCATCATAAGACCAATAGAGAGGAATGGTTGTAATTCTCATTGTACAATAATCTTCTCCTTAATCTTCCTTCCGGCCCAGTTTCTCCTCTATTTTTTTGTTCCTTCTCTATTTTTTTTTTCACCATGTGGATTTGATTGCTTTCAAATGGTGTCCAGCCCTGGTGCCATCCATGTTCTTTGTCACTCTAGGAGTTCACCAACTCCAAGCCCTCCTGGAGATAACAAGAAAGAATTGACACCTAAAGGTTTACCTTGGTGGTTCGTGTTTGTTGGCTGGTTCTTGGTGGTCCTGACCAGTGGAGTCTCTGGTTTTTTCACCATGCTGTATGGATTGCATTATGGCAAGGATAACTCCATCAAGTGGCTGATTTCCATGGCCATCTCTTTCTTTGAGAGCCTCTTCATTACCCAGCCATTAAAGGTATCTGTTTTCTTATGGACAACTAGGTCTCCTCTGTGAAGTAGGACATGGCTCCAACCCTAGTTAGGACAATGCAGTTTGATTTGAAAGTTGCTGTCAACCATGAAGCTGGTCTGAATGACTGGCCATTTTGAGACTTCAATGCTAACACACTGGAGAAGAGGGACAGGGAGGAGGGAATAGTTGGGGTGTTTAGTCAAAACAAAATACTTTCTCTTGGGAACCAAGGACATCCCTGCAGGTGCTCAGAAGGAGGGGACTGGAGTCACCTAGCAACTGTACAGTATCCTGATTGCACCATGTGACTGATTGTTTTGAGAAAGTGAAACACTTTTAGTTTCAATTTGGTGAAAACTGTGGGAATAATCAGAGTAGGTTTTCACCAGCCTGTGCCAATATGACATATCCAATAAACTGATTCTTTGAGGAATCTACCTGCCTCACAGTTTTGCTTGTTACGGGTGTATTACTTGGAGCCGTGATAATTGCCTTCAAAATGCTTTATTGCCACTAAGCTTTCCTTAATCTTGTTAGACTTCCAAAAATGTGCTTTGAAGTTAGGAGTTTGGGGGGGAAAATGCTGACAAGCACAGGAGAAATGTGCAAGGAGGTGTGTTTCGACTGGCTGTGTAGGCCAAAAACTTTATATTTCTCTATGGAAGACAGAACCTAAACTTTTTAAAATAATCCACAACATCCCAATGCACAACTGCAGCCAGAGGCTGCGCAATATGAGAAGACAACAATTGTAATATGGACAAGTGGTTGCACTATATGGTTGTCTTCTTCAGGCATCATGCTTGACCACATGTAACAAAGGCACAGCAAATGCATTTCTATAACATGCCAAACTTAAGCTGGTTTGAACCTTGATAACAGGGTTTTTTTGTGAGTTCTGCACATCCTGCCAATTTGATTAATGTATTGCTCAGTGTATTGGACAGAACAAGAAAAGTGGGTTAATTCAGTAACTATGGTAGACTAACTTTCTGTCTTCACTTGGAAAACAAACTGATTTTTAAAAAATTAATAACGTGATAACCTGGCGTTGTCCAGATATTTATTTATAGGGAGAAATGGACCAAACATAATTTCTAATGTTGGATTTTCCCCCTTACTAGAGGGACCCCCTTGTGGAGTACTGTGACGCCATTACCATAGCAACTGCACTGGGCTGTACAGTAGAAGCCATTTTACGGCAATGCAGTAGAAGCCATTTGAAGGCAAAACAGGCTGTATCGTAACAGAACACTTCCCCTCCCCAAGGGGCGTTAGGGGTGTCTTACCCCCACAGTATTTATTTCCAGACAGTAAGTCACCTGTGTACCAAAGTTTGGTTAAAATTGCTCAAAGCATTCCAGAGTTATGCTTGAACATACACACACACACACATGCACAGAGCTCTTTTTATATATATAGATTTTCGAAAGGGGCTGTAGGATATCAAAAGGTAGTCTGTGGACATGGGCCCAAATATCTCAATTAAAGTTGTCTATGTACTGTTCTTTTCTAGGTTCTTGGGTTTGCTGCTTTCTTTGCTCTGGTTCTGAAAAAAGTGGAACAGGAAGACGAGGAGAACACATGTATTGATGGTCCTTTGTCGGTCACAGGTAATCTATTTAATTCATTGAGGCCTGGAGCAGAGTATCTGTGTTTTTCCAGGTGAGCTGAACATAACAGACTCTGGTGAGGGATTACTAGTTTATTAATATCTGGGGAGGTAGTATATACCTGAACAAGGCAAAAGTAAAAGCAATTGATAAAAAGGAGGCCAGTAATTAAACCACCGAATAAAATATCTGTTTCACAAAGGAGAAGTGCTGGAACAAAAAAATCTCCAACAACTAATGGAAAACAGCATGGAAGATGCCTGTGATAAGATGCCTCACAATCTGAATATGATCAGCAAAATATCTTTTGTTGTTCTATCCAACTATTTGGTATTTCCGTTAAAAGTGGAACACAGAAAATAGTTTATCATTCAGATTTTTAGTAGTGGGCACTGCTACAGGTATAGTCTCTGAGCTTTCCTGCATCTAAGCCATGGACAGACAATCAAATGTGCTCCAGATGTTCAGATGATGTTTCTTCTATTTTGCTATTTGTCATACTTGCTGGTGCTCATGGGAACTAAACTCCAAAACATCTTCAGAATAACAGATGGCTGCCCCCTAAATTGGACTTTTGAAGTTTTAGAAGTAATTCTCTACGTTTTGAATTATGCCTGCAAGCAGTAGTGGTAAACAGTTGGGTGGAAGGGATGATTCCATCAATTTTAGCTTCTATCATCTCATTTTTCTAAATTTGTCAAATTTGGTTCCTTCGTTACTCATTCTTCCATTTAGAGATTTCGGCTATTCCACTGAGACAATGGAAACAGATTTTTTTTTAAATGCACAGTAATGTTACAAATGTTCATGCATGTTTCTCCAAATATTGCACACAACACTTCTGTTTGGATTTTTGTAGCTGTGCAGTTTTCAATCATCGCACATTGAATGCATGAATATATACATCTTTGAAGGATGTGGTGGCTTAGGGGCTATGACGCTGAGTTTGTCGATCAGAGACGTCGGCAGTTCGGTGGTTCAAATCCCTAGTGCTGCCTAGCAGAGTGAGCTCCTGTTACTTGTCCCAGCTTCTGCCACTTAGCAGTTCGAAAGCATGTAAAAACTGCAAGTAGAAAAATAGGGACCACCTTTGAGTCATGACCATGGAGACATATTTGGACAGTGCTGGCTCTTCAGCTCTGAAACAGAGATGAGCACCGCCCCCTAGAGTCGGGAATGACTAGCACACATGTGTGAGGGGAAAACTTTACCTTTCACACATCTTTGTGCAGAGTTTCCCCATGTCCATATTTTGGGGTTAATGCAAACTTCCACAGAGTACACATGGAATGGATCACTGAAAGTTTGAATAGTGGCTCAAAAAGATGTAATTAGATCAGTTCACATCCAGATGGAAACATAATAAAGATTTCTCCCAACCTTCGTACCACAACATTTATTCTAAGACTGAAGATAAGATTATTTCTTGGGTGAGTTCATCCTAAAAATATGATTTTGGAAAGTCTCTTTCTCCATGAGAAGCTGTTTAAAAAAAAACAACCGTTGGTTTCATTAGAAAATGAGTACATTTGCAACCACCTTGGACATCGGCCAGTTCTCCTGGTGTCTTTGAAGAGCAAGTACTGCACCATTTAGGCCTCTTTTCTTCCTGATTATCTATTTTTATCTCCTCTTAAGTTGAACATTTTCTCTCTTCTTATCCTTCTGATAGCTATGATGAACGCAGGATTCCTTGTTTTGCTTGGTATCTATTCTTCTATTTAGCTATCTTTCTTCTCTCTTGGGGGTGGGGTTTTTGTTTTTGTTTTGCCTGTAATCTGAGCATTGGGTAAGTCTCATTATTTTGCATATCTAAACATTGAGCTTTTCTTTTGAGCTTTGAAATCTCTTATGAATGTGTATTTTAAATACTGTTTTCCTTTTCAATAAGAGCATAAAACAAGTTGCATGCAAACTGAGTTCAGCATCAAAAAGGGCATGAAAAGAAGGCCTTGGCTTTGAATAATTAGGCAGTAAAGGAGGAGAAGAATTAAAATTGGTGGTTGATTAATATTGTTTCAAATATTACAGATCCAGGCCAATAACATATTAGTTCAAAAGAATATCTTATACATTTTGAAGATAAACCCTGCTGCGTTAAATAGAAGTTATTCCATTGTATGTATTGTATATTTATGAATAATCTACATATTTAGCTGGAAATAGTTCCATTAGGTTTAGTACCTGAAATGAATTTATTCTGTATTTTATCTATACGTACATGTAGAGTTTTGATATACTTTTTGATAAGTTTTGATATGCCACAAAGAAGAGGGGGTCAACTTATTTCCCAAAGCAGGACAGAACAGAAGGCAGGACAAGAAGCAATGAATGGAAACTAATCAAGGAGAGAAGCAACCTGCAATTAAGAAGAAACTTCTTCAGTGAGAAGAATTAACCATTGGAAAGGCTTGCCTTCAGAAGCTGGGGGTGGTGCATCACTGGAAGTTTTTAAGAAGAGACTGGGCAGTCACTTGTCTGAAATATTATAGGGTCTCCTGCTTGAGCAAGGGGTTGGACTAGAAGACCTCCAAAGTCCCTTCCAGCTCTTTTCCAAAATTCCATTCTATTCAATACTATTAAATAAAATGGCAAAGTTTGCCCCTAAAGAATCCTTTGAGTAGACGTCTCTTGGCATCTATATATGTTATTACATATAGGGCTTTTTAAAATTAACTTCATGGTTCTGACTAGGACATTTTATAACAGTTAATAGTCTGTTCGGTCATTTCGTGGGCAGGTGATCCAACTCCTATCTTTGGAGCGCGCAGAGATAGTGGAAATAACATCTACCAGCCTCCTCCTGCTACTGACATTGAGAAAATGAAGATGGACCACGTCAAGGAGCAGAAAGCCTTTGCACTGATTCGGGAAATATTGGGTATGTTTTACGTTCGAATCCCTAGCGCCGCATAATGGAGTGAGCTCCCGTTACTTGTCTCAGCTTCTGCCAACCAAGNGATGTGAATGAGCAGAATTCACAATAAATTAATAAAAGGTGTTTTTGTCGGGACCAGGAGTTTGCTTCATGGGAAGCCTAGGTCAGAACACTTAGTAGGATTCGCACATTATGCTAATCCATGGCTTCCAAATCATTAAAACTGGCTTTACAAAATAGATTAAGTCAAAACTGGACAAGCATATGACTCTTCTTTTTCATTTGTTCTTCCCAGGCAAGATAGAGTTCACGTGGCAAGAAGTAATGATTGGTTTTGAAAGTTCCATCTTGATGTTCCCCATCAACTTGCTCATCGTCCAGATCTTCAGGAATATTCGTTCTCAGATTAAGAAAGAACAGAAACCAGGAAAAAGTGGGCGTGTATCCCCTGACTTGCCTTCTCTTCCCCAACAATCCCCCCCAAATGTGTCCCTCACCGCTGAGGCTGTGATCAAGGCAAGTGATTGGAATCATTTATGGCGAGTGGTTTGACACATCCAAGAGATCCCATCTCAGATAGGAAGCTCAAGTAGCAAATGATATGTAAGAGCTGCCAAAGACGTATTGCTTTCTATGGCAAAACAGAAAATTATGCTCAGGTGCATCTAACTATCTAAACCCCAGGAAGGCGCATGGAATGCTGTTGCCTTCCCACCGAAGTGGTTCCTATTTTTCTACTTGCTTTTTTACATGCTTTTGAATTGCTAGGTTGGCAGAAGCTGGGAGAAGTAATGGGAGCTCACTCCATTACGCAGCACTAGGGATACGAACCGCCAAACTGCCGAGCTTTTTGATCTTAGCCACTGAGCCTGTCTTAGCCACTGAGCCACTGAGCCTCAAAAGTAAGGCAGTGCTATTAAAGAGCAAGACTTCTGTCTGGAAATCTCTGCCAGTCAGAGCAGATAGTGCTGAATTCAACCCACCACATCATCACTGATATTACCCAGTTGGGTAATGAAACGTCTCCTCCCAAAAAAACACACACACCCCTATTCAGAGAGCACCAAGGATCCCTCATTTCTCCTTGTCTTCTCCTGTCTGTGTGACTCCTTGATCTTCCATTTCCTTTTTTAAAAAATATTTTATTCATAAAAAAATTGATTTCAGTGCATTGTCAGGGTGTATCATTTACAGATGCAAGGTAAAGAATATAAATACATACATACACACACACACACACACACACACACACACAAACACACACACACTGATAACAATAGATATTATATAATGAAGTGGTTTTAGCTAAATTTCTCTTTATATTTGCTTATCTATACTTCTGTTGATTATATCGGCATATTTATACTTCTGAATCATCTTTATATTTAATTCATACATAGGAATGAATCTTCCATTTCCATTCCCATCAAAATGTGAAGGTCTCCTTTGCCACCCAAAAGTTAGGAAAATTGTGGCTTTAGAAAGATTGCCCTTTTTGAAAGGCTTGTTTTTTGGTTTTTTAAAAGCCCCTGAATAATTTTAGGAAAAAGTTAGATTTCTTTTTTTTCTCTCAGGAATTGAATTTTGGAGAGTTTTGGAATTTTTCTCCTGTCTGCCTTCTATTCCTAGAGGAAGTCGCCCAACACAACACCGTAGGATGAAAGCTCCCATCCAGAATAAATCGTCTAAGAAAACAATAAAGTGCCTTTTGTTATTTGTGTTGAAAGGAATGCAAGGGGCATCCCGTGATTCTGACCAATCTCTCTCTCTCTCTCTTTTTTTTTTAACTACCATTCTTTTAACTATTTTATCCAGGATATTAGGCGGATTGCCAATTCCCTGTTCAAAACCCTAAAGGCCCCTTTGCCTTCCTCGGATCCAGATTTCAGTAAATCTACCGATATCAACAAGCTGCTAGCCTTGGTGGAGGACATTATCTGTCAGCAGAACAGGGTGGCGGAGGAATTTTATGACGAGAGCAAAAAGAAAGATGACCCAATTATCATTAGCCTTGGGCTGGTGGATCTAGAAGGTGAGTCAGACATGGCAGGATTCACGTAAGTGAATCTAAATTAGCCAATTAAAATCTCCTTCCGTTGTGGTGATAATGAAGCTGGTTATTCTTCCCACTTGTCTCACAGGCAGGTGTGTTTAAAATGACTTTTAGCCTTATCTCCTCTGTCTCAATGAATGTAGATTTTCACACTTCTGGACCATATTGTACATGTGTTGAGTGGAAAATTAAGTTTGTCCCTGAGCACACTCTTATATAGAATTTCAGAACAGTCACACATTTTTGTAATTCTCAAATAACTTACCGGTACTTCCTTCCTTCCTTCCTTCCTTCCTTCCTTCCTTCCTTCCTTCCTTCCTTCCTTCCTTCCTTCCTTCCTCCTCTCCCATCCCCTCCTTTTCTCGTTGATATATATCTCTACATTATTTCCTTCCTTCCTCCTCTCCTCTTCCCTCCTTCTCTCGTCTGACATATATATCTACATTATTTCCTTCCTTCCTTCCTTCATATCTTCTCTTCTCCTCTCCCCTCCATCTGTAATCGACATATATATCTACATTATTTCCTTCCTTCCTTTCTCCTCTCCTCTTCCCTCCACCCCTCATCGACATATATTACATTATTTCCTTCTTTTCCTTCCTTCCTTTCTCCTCCCTTCCCTCCACCCCTCATCGACATATATTACATTATTTCCTTCTTTTCCTTCCTTCCTTTCTCCTCCCTTCCCTCCACCCCTCATCGACATATATTACATTATTTCCTTCTTTTCCT